TTGTAACACTGTTAATCACTGAGTCAGTGGCATCTCAAGTGAATTGTATAATTGTAGCGATGTGAAATATTCTTGAGCGTATGCACTAAGTTCATTCAGTTTTTCATATGTTATTTCAGTTCCTGTTGCAAAAATGATTTCAATTGACCAATCAACAATAATCAGCACAGTAGTGTGCCATGCTTGCTTCTTCTGCGTTTGTCTTTACACAGTATACTGTATGTCATATAATGTATGTCACTGTATAGTTTGGGTAGGGTTCATATGGCCGCAGCAAAAATTAAATTTTGAAGTAAGCAGGATGTTGTGTGCTTGATCCCAGCCTAGCACACGGTGGGGTGTTTTCCTCAGGGAAGCAGTGTTTAGTGTTAATAAAGTTATTTTGCATGAAAGAAATGACAAGCTCACTTAATATTGCAATTTCCTCACTTATTACATCTTACCCCCTTGAAAAATGAAACAGTTGATTTCAAAGAATGAAGATTTTAGGAGGCGTTCTTTAATCACTGATATTGAAGCCAGAGTCCAAAAGTCAAGTATCATGATGACTAGTGTACTTTACACATTTCAAATATGTCACATAATTTTGTACATCAGTACCTGCAGATTTTTTTAAGAACTCTGTTCCATTCCACATCTTTGGGGAGACCACTGTCCTCAGTTATGCCACCTACATGAATTCCTTTTATCAATATGGACTAATTCAATTAAAACCAAAAAAGGTATCATACAGGATGTTTTGATGAAACCACAATTTTATTTGACAAATTGACAGAGACAACTTTGAAACTTGTATATGTATAATAAATGGGATGCTTGGAAAAATACAATGTTTGTACGTGTACATTGTAACTCCACTTATTTTAATATATTTAGTGTTTTGGCATTTTTGAAGGAAGTAGTTGAATTACAAACTAATTTGAGTAATTTTCAGAAGTGCTTGCTTGCTCCTCCGGCCAAGGGAAGCCAGAAACTTGTCATAATCTGCCTGACAATTTATAGAGCTGATGCATCTTGTCATTTTTATGAGGTTATCAGCTTATAATAATCCTATTAGTATTACGTACAGTTTGTGAAGTATGGTATGTACATGTACAAAGTCATTGGGGAAATTATGCTATGGGCCTTCATGTTTCCCACACATTTTCTTATATACCCATTAAAATTTTAAGTATAATCTTGTAGAAGAACACAAAATGTGCACATACATGTACATGACATAGGCCCTGCATTTAAAATATTGTTAAAAGACTTAGATCTGAACGGGGGAACATGCACTAGTTTTCCCCTTGAAATTAGAAAACCCCACCAGATGAGTATTATAACTCTGGAAATTGCTTTACAACTCAGAAAAAGGGTTTTGCAGGGTTGATGGTGAGTAAACATCATACTCATACAGTACTTGGTACATGAGAAAAGAATACATAAACAGCATTCCCTGTCTAAAAGGCTTACTAATTGTCAATAATTCTCATGTCAGTTTACCCGTAATTCTCACAAACCATAACACACTTGTATGCTGTCTATCTTGTCCATTTTGCAATTTTTTTCCATGAAAAAGGTAAGATCCGAGGCAAAATTATTATGGCAGTGCCGGTCGCTATTATTAATCGCACGTGAACAATGCTACAAAGGTCAACTGGAAGTTTCCTGTGCTGGCAACTCCAGAGCTTCCGGCTGACGGAACATGTTTACGTGCAAGGCGCGGTGCACCGGCTGGAGTTGGTAGTCCATTGTATTTTCTCCTCCAGGTCTATGGAATAAATAAGAACATATGAATATTTCGATATTAACGAAATAAAAGGAGATGACTCACTGGCAATGAATAACATTAGAAATAAAAATGGAAAGGGATAAAAATGATGTAAGAAATTGATTAAATTAAGGAACTACAGAGTTAGCAATAAAGACACAATAAATACCAAAAATACATGCATAAGAGAAAAGATGTATATAAACATATACGACAAATCAGATAAAATATAATTGACAATTGGCAGAGAGGAGGCTCAATTTAAGTTATAAGCCTTACATGTACGTGTGACTCAAATATGTGGTTGGAATTTATGAAAAGAGAACACTGTTTCAAAGAGTGGGGAGGAAACGTTTAAAAATACTGTAAACTAATGGCAATACAAACGTGTTCAGGGAGACTTGACCAAAGACAAAGGAAAGCATGGAAGCAATACAATAGTATATCATCAGTGAATAAAGCACAATCAGAATTAATATTATGGGTGAAGTCATTGACAAATATGTGAAAAAGAAGAGGTCCAAGTACGCTGCCTTGTGGAAAGCCAGACTTCACCGCACACCACTCCGAGTTTTGTCCAACAAAAGTTACTCTCTGGAGACGGTCCACTAAGAAATCCTTGATCCACCTCCAGAGAGCACCTTTTATGTTACACCCAGAAGAAGCTAGTTTACGGAGGATGTCGTGAGGCATGTAGTCAAATGCTTTACTCATGTCAAGAAATACTGCATCTATTCTTGGTGGGTTACGCTGGTCAAGAGCAGATGCCCATGCGTGATACACACTGAGCAACTGTGTGACACATGACCTACTGGGAATAAATCCATGTTGATAGGTAGACATTAGACAATTGTCCTGTAAATGAGTTGGAACATTATCAGAAATTATTCTCTCCATGATTTTACACACGATGGATGTGAGAGCAACAAGTCGATAATTTGTCAATTTGCGACGGTCACCAGATTCAAAAACTGGGGTAATGTTTGCAGTCTTCCATGCATGAGAAAGTCTGCCACAGGAAATGGAACTGGTGGAGATTCTGCACAAAATTGGTGAAATCGTGTCAACAGTATTACGTAAGAATCTCACACCAATTCCATCTGGGCCAGGAGCCTTCCCAATGGCAGGGAACAAATAATCCTGTGTATGCTACCAGCAGAAAAGCTGATGGAAGGAAGACTGTCAATAGGAAAATCACAAGGAAGTGGTTCATCAGGAATACAATTGGTTCAGAAAAAACAGAGGCAAAGTTGATATTAAAGGCAGAGGCTATCTCCTGTGGATTAGAAAGGAGGTTATCACCATCTTTAAATGACAGTTGAGTAGGGGACCATTTTCTGCATCTAACAAAGGACGAGAATCATTTTCTTATTGTCCTTGGAGAGAAATAAATTATCAACATAAGTTTTGTTAACTTTGCGAGTAAGGGATTTTAAACGGTTGCGAACAGTCTCGTAGGTTTCCTGGACTTCTTGGCTCTTTGAATAGATGGTGCTTTGGTCCACACAGGTGCTTTATATTAGCATCAACCCCGGGACAGTTCATCTTTCTGGATTTTGCCAGTTTTACAGGCAGGGCATCTTTCAGAGCTGCATCAATAATGTCAAGAAAACCATACCATGACTGGTTAATGCCAGTTCTACTGATGAACAAATTCCAAGGAGCATATCTACTGATGGCTGTGTTTCCATTGGGAGGACGGTACAAAACTCCAATTAGCCATTTGAACTTGTGAACAGAGATACAGATCCAAATTGGCTCGATGTTGGAGGTCTGGAGTTCGTCTAATCGAACAGGTTGCAAGCTCTCTTTAACTGCGATGAGGACACAGCTGCCTCGTCCCTTCCGATCCTTTCTGAAGATGGAGTAGTCCTGAGGCAGGCCTAATATCGAGTCAGTGCCCCTTGGCCCTAGCCAAGTCTTGGTGATGCCAAGGATGCTGGGTTCATTGTTAATGGACAGTGAAGTTACCAAGTCGATCCCTTTGTTACGTACACATCGTGCATTCAGTAATAGGGCACTTATGTAGTTTCGCGGACGAGGTGTAGAAGGGGAGGAGTCGGCACACAGGCTGTTTATCATTGGTGTCACTGGATCGTCAACAGTCTCGAAAAGGCAGTCAGGAAAGCGAAACTCACAATGATGGCAAGTCCATACAGTGGTCAAGTTGGCAAGGAGGTTGTAAATTAATGTTCTCATCCCAATACACCGTGCATGGTACCATAACTAGCAAGATTCACACGGGATGCCCTTCTAGCTACTACGTACTGCCTTCTCACAGTCAGCACTGGGGTAACAAACAGGGCCAGTGTTTGGATGAACCAGGCCAGGCTACATATGGCATCAGAATTGGGATAGTAACTGACTGGTTTATGTCCATACTCGATTTTTTGTACAGCCACAAATCTGGAGATTTGATGATTTTTGGTGATCGCCGTCATGAAAACGTTGAGACAACTGGATACAAGGCATTTTTTCCGAAATTACGGTACATGTACATGCATCTGCCAATACATGTAAACATGATTCACATACATGACAACATGTGGATACATGCACATGTATGTTGGACATCCATCCATGTTGGTTTTACGCTAGGCTGTGTAGTTATAATGCTCAATTCAGAGCGCCATAACGGGAATCTACTGTAATTCAGCTGTTCAGTGTTCAGTGCTGGTCTCCGACCTCCACCATATCCAGCTTTGATTTGGCTTGTTGCATTGTATTTTGCTCAAAACTGAGAAACATACTGCGTTGAAATTTTAATGCTGTCTTCCTCAAGTTATCTTCTGGATATTCCAGAGAATTAAAGTGCTTTTGTCTCAGATTGATTTTTCTCCGCTTTCCGCATTCAGAGATGCACATGTTTGAAACCACAGAGAACAAAAACTTCCTGATGTGTACATGCACAAATACTATTTAATGGAGAAAGCTTGCAAAATTATTTCACTACCACCGGAGAAAATCTGTGAAAATCTTTTCCCACTTGTGAGAAAAAGTGTGAAAATCTTTTCTCATTTGTGGGAAATCTGTGAAAAATCTTTTCCCATTTGTGGGAAAAAGTGTGAAAATCTTTTCCTATTTGGAGAAAATCTTTGAAAATATTTTCCCACTTTCGTGAAAAGGTGTGAAAATATTTTCCCACTTTTGGTACACTTTTTCACAATTTGTGAAATGAAAAGGAATTCCCTGGGAAGAGAAAAAAGAAGTGAAAAGATTTCCCATTTTGGTGTTAACTTTCAAATTGCAATGTACTGTACCTTTTTGTATAAATACCGTAATAAATATGATTAAAATAAAACACAATATCTTTTAAACAACTCGGCTATTCATTCCCAAATAACTCCGGAAGAAAGCATTCGATAAGGGCAATGACTGCACATGAACACTAAGGGCACACAGCCTACTCTAAGCAACTGTGCAAGCATTAAATTTGATGTTGTTTTCAGGTCATACCAAGCACCATTGATGGTATGAATATTCAAGTTCCTATACTGCAGTGCACAACGTGTTAAGGATGCAGATTACTAGTGAAAAATTGTGGCATTGATCATAGAGTACAAAGGGGCTTATGGTTGGGAAACAGATGGTGTGTAGCAAGCATTCACTGCGCTCTGGCTATGGATGTACCGGCCATGCCAGAAAGCGGTAACTGGCCAGATGTTATAGCCTGGGCAGTTCAAACTCCTTCTGTGTCCTTCCTCCATGATGGTTTAACATGGTAAAGTATCGGTGTACATCAACCTTTGACATCTCTACAAGTGTACATATATTTTATTGAGATAAGAAACGTTAGTCATTATACCTGTAGTGTTAGAATCACTAAATTAATGCCCTTAATGAAGTGATTTTTAATCAAGCCTAAGTCATTGCTGTGTGAAGCTGGATCACAAACAAAATGAGACTGCTTTTTGCACATAGAGTAAGGTAAAATTTCCGCATGCTGTACCTACACATGTAGCATGCAAAATGAATGCATACATGTTGTTCATGCCATGTTTCTTACTCATCAGTCATTTGATGCATGTATAAGTACCCTATTAACAAATTCTTGTGAACTCTAATTTTGTCAAAACTTAAGAGTATGCACTTTATCCTCGGTATATGTGCACATACTTCTCTGAAGGAAGTGTCTTCTGTGAGGGTACATGTACTGATAGGTGTTTTACTGCATGCATTTCACTAAGGCTAAGACATGGTAGTTCATGATTTTTATTAAATTACTTGATTTAAATTTCTTAATTTAAATCCAAATTTGTTTAATTTGTTTTGTTTAACAAAAACTATTAAACATGCAGCTAATTTGTTTGCTTTTGAAAAGACATTTAAACCAACTTGTCTCACATTTTTATGAAAATTAAAAATCTGATTTAAATTTTTGAAAGTCCAATTTTGTGGGTTTTTTTAAGATAAAAAAATAAACATCCCTTAAAAATAGTTAAACCAGCAAGCGTCACATGACACCCTTTTGACCAGTCAAAATACAGAATCTGTGAGTAAGGTGTTATAAATAGAGATAACCTTACATGGTGTTGCTGCAACCTCTTTACCCAAGTATTCCCTCATTGAATGAAGAAGGGGAATGGTGGATACCATTTCAACTGGTGCCCAGTGCACAGCACTGTACATGCAAGTAAAAATTGGTCAGGTTATTTTGTTCTGCATTGTCTGTTCATAAAGAATAGACCATGCCACCTATCCGCTCCAAGCAAGACCAAGAGAGGGCGTGTGTTTTAGAGCAACAGCATCCCTTTGGTGGGAACTCACTACGTGTGTGTGCATGTTAATGCACGTCAGTTGGCACTGGATGCACTGAGTACTTGCAATTAATTTCGGTGTGCGTGTACAGTCTTCACATGTGCATGAGTCCCACTTAGAAAACCTCCCACCGACATCTCTTCTTTTCTAATGAGGGCTGCCATCAACTCAAGGCAGATGGGGCTTGGTTATATATCAAGGATCTTGCTTGTAAAGGGGCCTGCCTTTAGATTTGATATAGAAATACATGTATTTGTTAAAGCTGCACTAAAACGGAGTTGAGAATTGTGATTTTGTCCCTCAAATAGCATGGGTAGGCATTCACCGTGTTATGGGACTAGTTCTTTTGTTAGGGAAATTTGAACCGAGTTGTGGGGACATTTCTGAGTCCCCACAACATTTTCAGTCCCCACAAAATAAGTGAAATGTTGAGAGTATGTCCCCACAGCTACGGTGCAGGAGTGCATGTACTGTTGTAATTCTTCACAAATATTTGCAAACAAAACATTTCCTGCATTTTCTTAAGTCAGAAAGAAAGCAGAGTTTTGGGCCCTTTTGTCCAGGCTGAACAAGCCTTTTGCAAAAATGGCAGTGTCGTCATCCAGCAATTTGCATGCGCATGTCCTGCATAATGCATGAATGAACGATGATGTACATGTAAGAGGTGGCATTCAATTGGTGCACACTGTACTGTACATGTAGATGTACAGCGCTAAATTCCAAAAAAAGAAGACGTCTGGGAAGAACACAGCATTGACGAGGAAGAAGTTGATTTATCTGAGGCCAGCAACAAAGATTCATCAGATTTGGACCAACCAGATGACCTCGAGGGCGATGAAAAAATAGTTGAAATATGCAGTGCCGAGGCCTACCGCTTCGAGCCAGCCGGATCATACCGATGACGATGGGGGCGGTAACGCTGCAGCAGCTTTAGGGTGGACAAGAGCACAATCGGTTTTGGAACACAGATTGGTAAAGTGGTAGGCCTAAATCACAGTTTTTGTTGCCACTGAAATGGCTGTTATACCTTAGAACCTGACTTTGTACACGTATTTTATGCACTCATTACTGCATGTACTCCATGGAAGAAATTCCAACTTTTGAAGTCTCACGTTTTTGGTTCAATGTGTACATAGCCAGGGCCTACGTGACATGTTTACTGATCGGCTGCGAGTCAACTCCTACGTTTGCGTACGAAAAAAAATGGAAATACCATGTCTTTCTCTTGACAATGTCTTCACTGTATTTGATTATAAGTAAATTCAAGTTGTTAGAGGATTAATGATGACCTTCACCCCATGTGCATTATAATATTACATATTCATTGTAATTATGTCCACACATAAATATGACTGGGCTTCCTAATGTGGTGTTTGTTTTGTTTTTTTTGGTAGGTGGAGTTGTGGGCGCTGTTAGGCAGAAACGCTGTCCAGGGCACTCTTTTCCAGTATGTACAGTTCATGCATTTTATTGATTTTTTGGGGGGAGTGTGATGATCAATATTGATTAGGATTTTATTTACTGTGGGTATATTTGTGTTTCGCATGTTACACTCTTACACTCAAGTTTTTTTGTTCTTTGTCAAAGAAAAGCCCATTTTTATGTCACTACCCTGCTCGGACTAAGTTTCTTTAAAGCCCAGCCCAAACGCCTATATTTTATTTATAGTGTTTTTGGTCAAACTTTTTTATTCGCGTCAAAATAGTATTATTGGTTTTTCACATTATTAGTTATCATTAGCTTTTCATGTGTTTTTATTTTTTACTCAGGAAATATCGCCACACGGCATATCATCAAGCAGTTCGGTGATGTTGAGGTTGGATGCCACTACAGTCCCATTGCCATCATGGACAACATTCCCCAAATGTATCCAAATGTAGATGACTAGTACAAGGGATTCCGATATCCTCAGTTGGATTTTGTTTGTTTTTTGTATCTAAGGTGAAAACACATCACACCATCTTGTTTGTTGTGCATTCCAACTCTTTTAATTCTCTTCAATACAACTTGCTGCTTTCGACTCACTGCTGTCAACTTATTCTATAACTTTACAAGCAGGTTTTCAAATCCACACTGTGGTTACAGTACATGTACATGTATTAAATATTGTATGATTACATATGTAATACCTTGAAATAAACCAAGCATACCAGCATGAAGCATGTACTTGTGTACATACATGTATATTTGTGGAGGAGTATATTATTTCAGAACCTATGTCTATTGCCATTCAATTTTCATCCGTGCCTAAAAAGTAAGTATAATGCTCTCAACTTGCACATGTATATCACGAAACAACTACTTTTTGGAAGTTTCTCACATAAAATAGTCATATCTTTTTCCTTTACTTTGTATTGTTCCTGCTCTCAAAGTGGATTTTTTTCCAGACATGAATCCTCAAATTAAAATTGATTTGTTCAAATTGGGCCCCAAATACATGTACACCTATCTGGGTTTTTACATATACTGTGGTTTTCCTTCATTTCATACATTGGAGGTGCAGGAACTGAATAATTCTTTGGACCTCAAAAAAAAATAAATAAATAAAAAAATTAAAATGCATCTACATTATCACCCTGCCAATCCGAGGTCTTGGAACTTTATGAATACCATGTACCTTGGTTTTTTTTTTATGACAGAAACCTGTGTTTTTATGAGTTGAATACATATACAAAGAAAAATAAAGACCGCGACCTAATCTTTTTGATGTTACAGTAGATACGGTAAACATTGTATGCAATGTAAATTTATGAACAGTGCTCTTCTTCTGAACCATTGTTGACTGGGTGCCTTGGTGGAATCACAGGTCTTCATGCAGGAAAAGGCTGTAACATCCTCTTCAACTGCACTGAGTTCACTTGCCTGTAGAAAAGTTTTAAAAGATTTTCTTCACCATATCCAAAAGGAAAATCGAGTAAAACATAAACAATTACAAAATTTTTATTAAATAACCGCAGCTTGACGGGACTATGCAACAAAAATATTTTTACACGTATGTAATAATGATACAAGTTTACAGATGAATGACTGCTAAAAGACTGATTTAGACAAAATCATGCAACAACCATTTTGTCAAGTTCATAAGGCGAAGTACATGTACATACTGAAATTCCTACTCAAGAAATTATTCAAATAACAAATGCTGTCTAGTATAAGCCTCATGTGTATGTACAAAATTGTACATGTACTGTCGAACCTCAAGAAGTCCTTGGGCTGTTACAAATTGCCTTGTACAGGAACCTTGTACATGTATTATCAGGAGTGGAAAACAATGAAAAAGAAAAAACTGGGAACTTAACTTTCCTTGTTACAACAGTAACATTGTATTAACAGTGCTCTTATTGAAGTTCAACTTTACATGCGAAGTACATTAAACTTCAATTATCATTCATCAATTGCCCTGGTTATTCACAATGAAATCAAGCTAACTTCTTTAGACTGCAGAATAGAGCTCATGCTATAGAAGCATCAAATTCTTCAGGAGGCTCAGAATCCTGTATGGAGTGCTATCTGAAGGCTTCTTGAAGTACCTGAAACTGCAATGAAAATACACACAATTACCCAGGTAAAAAACGTGGAATGTATAAGAATTAGGCTGCAGGTTTAGGGCAAATCTGGGTGACATTGTAGGGTATGAATGGGGTGAGGTAGGCAAAGCAGGCACATACAAGTTTTTAAATACACAGTAATTTTTTTCTATTCCCTCCCTTCAGAAAGCACAAAAACACAGCTCTGCCCAATAAAACAGGTTTGTCTGCCTGCCCCCAGAAAATTTGGATTGGGATCAGTCCATACTTTGAAAAATCATGTAGCCTACACGTGCATGTAACTGGAGTTATTTTTTTTTTATTTTTTGCAATTCTTCCCACATGGCCAACCTGGACACACAGCAGTTACATTCTGCTAACTCCACTGCTTATTTTCCCCACAGGATTTTGAATCACCCGTGCTCATTGATATGCTTAATCACCTCCTGCCGGGTCAGTTATCAATGTTGATGATGCTGGGCCGGGATATTTGGCTTTTTCGCAGTTTGCGAAAAAGGCATTCGTTTTGTTCGGGGTTTTTTTTTCTTCTTCTTCCTCTTTTTCTTCTGGTGCCCATGCCTTTGTACACAGTTTTTCTCCGCGGCACTTTAGTCCCTTAGCAAGGGTCAGTCTTCATCAAAGTTGCGGTAAGCAAAGACCCTATTGCATAGATGTGCCGCGAAGCATGACATCATGATGATGTCATCAAGTGATTTATTATTGATTTAAATATTTATTTCAGCCCATTCACTTTGTACACGTTTTCAAGGCACTATTTCGTCGTCAAAGTTACAGCAAGCACTAACTATAAACTGAAGATAATACTGAAATATTTATGTCATGATTATTAAATATTGAATATTTAATTATAAAAATTTTATATATATATTAAATTTATAAAAATCCATGTAAAATCCTGCAACATTCTGTTTGCAGCAAGTGGCAGGATAAAATGTGGTCTTGAATTCATCTTGTGTGGGTCAAATCACATGACCCTTCCGGTCGAAACCGGAAGTGGGCTATTGTTTAAAAATGGTAATAGGTATCAAGTTGTTTTCAACGGTGTTAGTCTGTCGGGTATTGTATTCTTCAAATCATTTACTGATGACATCACCTAATTATCGAGCGCCCTCTAGCGACAGGTTAAAAATTCCTAAAAATGAATTTTGAATAAATGTCTTTGGCACAGTTTGTTCGAATTGCCTGAAAATTCATGTAGGTGATCATCTTTACCCAGTCAACACGTGTGTGAGGTTTGGGGCTGATGACGTCATCAGACCGGAAGTTACAATAAAAACTTCTTTTAGTCTTCAAAGTTCAGTAAAAAATCAACCGTAAGAGATGTCAGCGTGAATTGTGCATGAGTGGACATCTAAAACATTGGACTCAGCTGCATGAAGTGCATAACTGGTGTACTTTTTCACACACATGAAGCACTGCCGACAAAAACCCCCTTAAAATATAAATTGCCAACTCGGAAATCCCATTTCACACAATGCTGTGCATATGCTACTGTGTATGTGTGGACGCCCAGTATCTGCCTGCAACATTAACAGCGCAGAGTGCGTAGGGCATATACTCGGGACTTGGCAAAATGCCGACCACGTGCTGCTGAGAGCAGATTGCATTGTATGGAATGCCAAAGGGGACAAATGTTTAAAAATATAATTCGTGCCTTTTCAGTAGTAAGTATAATGTTTTGTATTATATATTGTATTGTAAATGTCTTGTTGGGTTGAAACCTTGCTGGTAGTTAGGAAGGGAAGGTTTAGAAACGGAAATTGACCTCATGTGATGGCAATGCCATCAGCAGATGAGTCATGTGACATTAATGGTGCACCATTTAAAGTACAATATCTCCAAAAGTGTATATCCAATTTGGTTCAAATGTTGCAGATATCTTGAAGGGGAGTGCTTTAGAGGAACTTTGACGTTATGTGACAATGATGTCATCAGGAGACAAGTCACGTGACATTAAGGGTTCACTCTTTAAGGCCCTGTATCTCCTGAAGTACATGTACATGTCTGATTGGGTTTAAATCTTGCAGATATCTTGAAAAGGGAGTGCTTTAAAGGTATATTGACCTTGCCTGATGATGATATCATCAGGAGACAAGTCACGTGACATTAACCTTTGAAGGCCCTTTATCTCCAAAAGGACATGGCCCAGCATGTTGAAAGTTAGCAGATATCGAGAAGGGGATGTGTGAAAGACTAAAATTGACCTCATGGGATGATGACATCATCAGTACACAAGTCATGTGACATTAAAGGTGTATCATTTAAAGCCTTATATCTCCAAAAGTATATGTCTCAGCTGGATGAAACTTTGCAGGTATGCAATCACGACAATGGGTTTTTCAAAGAAAAGCGAAAAAGCCCTATGTTTTGTTGCAAACAGACATAGAACATCTCGTTATCATTTTTTTTCTGTTTTCAAAATTCTTTAAAAATTCCCATCTTCCTTTACTGGACACTTACAAACACGTGAAGGACTGTCTAGTGGCCCCGCTAGCCTGACAGACAAAATCTATTGATGCCTGAATATTTCAGCCAGGCCTGCAGCCTTGTAAAAAGAGCCGAGATTGTGCGGTGTTATAAAACTTTCTTTTGTTCACGAACTTGGCTGAGTGCGCTGCTGACCTATTTTCAGTAGGGGCCAGATTAGCATGCAGCTCATCGGTGTGGTGGTAGAGCACTTTTGTCCCCGGTGATAATCCGCTCGCTCTAAATGCCCCAAACCGTGGTATACTGTTTCAAAACAAGGCTGGATTATCTCCACTTTTGAGAGTGAAAAAATGTCAGTAATACCCAGCAGCCTGGTCTTTCGTTCCGAGTACGTTCTTTTGTTACAAGGCCCTGTTCCCTTTGTCCCCGTTCGGAGACCCCAGCCATACATACAAAGCATACGTTTCCAGATCCGGAATCCCTGGCAGGAAGTGTTTTCGGTCCAGTTACAAATCTTAAAACTTTTAGGGCCCCTACTTCATGTTACAACTAAAAATAAAATATCCTCCAGACTTTCAAAAAAATACAAAAGGATTTAAGGCCCAATAACCCAAGAAAATAAACCCAGCCTTTTGTTTCTCCCTCTTCTCCTATGCCCTTCTTGAACGTCTGGCTGGACAAGACTGATTGGCATGTTCAGTAGCGCCAGTCCTGGTGGCTATGCTGGGCAATTCTAAACTCGGTACTGCTTCCGCCTTGAGTATGTATCTTGTCTTCAGGCCAAGTTGTTGCTTCAGCCCAGACGACTGATCTTGTCAGTCATCATCAATTCAAAGTGTTTACTGCATACTGCCGAAAACTCTGCACTAGTGGTGCAGACAACTCGCACCCACTACCAGCAAACGCAGTCATTTTTCGGGAACTTAAAAACCTAACACTGTGATTCTTCGAGGATGTTCTAGTACAACGGCCAACCACACAATCTGAAGGAATCATGAGACAGAGGCAGAATTAGAAAAATCATAAATTCTCGTCCTCGTTTTCACTTGATCCCGTACACGTGCTGAGCTATGTAAAAAATGGATCGGTTTTTCAACCCCATTAGAGTGCAGCTTTAAGGGTTGTACTGACTCTGACTTAGTCATAAAATTACTACAGTACTTTTACAGTTGTCTTGTAATGTTGCCGTGCATTTGCGCAAGCATTTTTAACCAATGAAGTACAGATTGCTTGGAGTGACAGCACAATTTTGATCCGTGATTTTATTTTATAGAACCATGGAGAAGAAAGTCTGGTCACTAAATGCTTCATCAAGGAAGGCAAGGATAGCAAGCAGTACTGCAACAGAGACAATTCCAGTTGTCACATCTAAGACGAGTGAGGTTTGTGCTGTAATGCCATCGAAAATCATTATTTTTTTTAACAAACTAGAAAACTGCACCTAGAGTATGCATATTTTTATGCCCAAAAACTGATTTTAGGGATGAAACTTATCAATTTAATGCCATAATTTTAGAAGTGTTACATGTTCTGTGCTCCAGAAAGATGTTGATAAATCATGTATATCATGCATTCCCTCCCCTCTGTACCTCCCTACATGGAGTCTGAATAAAATATCTTGGTACTGTACAACACCAATTACCAAACTCAGTGAGTGCCCACCAAATCTTCCCCAACATCAGATCCTGCTTACATTTACATAGTGAATGTGGTATGGGGTTGTAGTACCCATTTACTGTCCGGATAGCATAATGTCTGTAATGTGTTGCGTTACTGTACTGCAGGTGTGTAGCATTTAATTTTGCTTGATTTAGAATGTTTCCCATCAAAAATACAAGGAAAAGCGGTTACCATCTAAGTATCTATATATATTACAGTGTCACACCGTCTATGTAGAATCAAGTGAGCTATGTGTTTTTACACCCCTTGCAAATCTATGTGTATGCTTGTTGTACGTGTCATGTCTGAGCTGTATTCCTAACATCACACTAACCAATATTGTATTTCTGTTTTGTACTTAATCATATGTCCAACATGCATAGCAGATTACAGTGTATGCTTTTTCCAGGGTAACACTGTAAAATGTTTGTAAAATTAAAGCAACACAACAAAAACAATAATTACTTGTACTCTGTGAAAGGCACAAAACACACATGAAGAATGAATAAATTGTGTTGATTCTGAAATACAGGTATACTACTGGGGAGGTGGTCGGTTAACACCTTATAAGCTGGAAATCTTCAAAAAGGGTAACGCAGCATTGCAAGTAGCAGCCGGCAACCTGCACTTTGCGGCTGTAACTGTGGAGAAAGAACTGTTTACTTGGGCAGTAAGTTGTGGTAGTGAAATTTAACTCGTTTTACTATGGGGCAAATTGTTTATCAATAATTTACTTCACTTTCTGTCCGCTATGCTTGTTTTTATGGCCTTTCTTTTGTTATGGGATGGGACTAAACTTGTGACAGTTCAAGTTGCTGCTAAATTTCCTCGCTGCCTGGAAAGATGAAACATCTTACATGGCATCATTTGTGGATACATTGCACATGTATGTGTCCACAGGCATCCGTGTAGACCAGCTGCCCAGCATGTGTATGCAATGCGGGTGTGGAAAATTTTACGTGAAAATCACTACGAAGCCTGGGGATTTTTTCCACTAGAAAAAAAATTACCAAACTGAAAAAAAATGACTTTCATGCTGAACAGTTTGTGTGGACCTAGTCATGTTCGTTATTCCACTGTGATGACAGTTTACTGTCATGAAATTAGTTGATGTTAAAAAGAATTTGTTGGAAGAATGACTTTTCATTTACTGTTATTCATGTAGGTTTCTGAGCATCCGTTTGCTTTTTTGGCTATGTAACAAATGTTTTTTTCATTCTGTAACTATGCCATGTACCAATATGCATCCAATATACATGTATTTATGAACTAATTTAACACAAATTCTTTCCAATAAAACAAAAAGTTTTTCACATTTTTTACCTACTTGCATTAAGCAGAAGTGTGCAATGGTAGGGGTCTACGCAGAGTATAGGTACCTGGTACATGGAGACATGTATACACAAGTCAGTACTTGTCTTGTGAAATTCGAACAGAAAGAATACTTTGGAAAGGTCATTTGAGTTGGCTTGAAATGGAGAAGAACATATCCTGACTTTGGACCAAAAACACAATCCTGTGTTGTTGCCCTCTGAAGGAGATTTTGTTGAGAGAAATCTAATGTTAAAATGATACCTAATCTATGGGAAGCAATACCTCATTCTCATTAAAGGTAATGATAAAGCATGACTGTGTTTATGTCTCACTTTTTGTACCATAGCTTATAACTAATTGCAACATCATAGCAATCTCATAAAACCGGCACATAGCATGATAGAGAATTGCTGGGGGAAAATTTTTCAAGGGGGGCATTAATATCACCTGAAGCGGCAATTACTCAGTGGTTGGAACTTGATCTTGCACACAGATGAACATGTACACCTGTACTTCAAATTTCATATATCACGTTTTACAAGTGTTATAACTCCGAAACAAGTTGGAAAGCAAACAGTATTGTAAATGAATTTTTGGATATCTTGTGCAAAACATGTTGAGTTATAATCATTGTGAGGACACTCGAACCACAAGGTCAAATTCAAGATCAAAGTAGTTTTCAGATAGTCATCATATTCCTAATTGGGGTGACATGAAAAACTTCTTACATTGTGATTCCTCATGATACATGTAGTTCTTTTCAAAGAAACCAGTTTTCCTACCTATATAGTCATTTCATAGGTGATTGGCGTGACCAGTTCTTTCAGAATCACCAGAGTGGCAGGTGATTTGGAAAAACTGTTTGTTATAGTCCAACTCCAACAATGCTTACTTTTCTCATATTGAATCTTATTCAGAAGAGCCAAGTGTAATAAAAGTAGCACATGACTCCATTGTCTCTGAGGCCGTAGGTGGCCTGAGACAGAATAAACTCCGCCCTGCCTTCAAAGCAGTGAAGTGCTTGCACGGAGTTGGCCAGCATTCAGCTCCTTTCTCGGTTTCCAGAGCAGACGGCTCTCCTTGCAACTCGTCAGAAGAAATGCTGTCCTGCTAGAAAGAGCACTTTTGCCAGTCGCTAAACTGCCCAGCTGCTTCCCCCAGACCACTTTCAACCACATCTCCTGAAGCTGTAGTTTCTGATCTGGACTGCGACCCTCCATCGTTGAGTGAAGTGCGGGCTGCTATGGGAAAGTTGAAATTGGGCCGTGCAGCAGGAGATGGCATCTTCTCTGAGTACTGAGTGCTGAGGTGCCCATAAGCAGAGCTCTTTCACAAGATCTTTTCCAACCTGTGGTCAACAGACATGGCTCCGACAGACTGGAAGGGTGGTATAATTCTACCCTTCTTTAACCCTAACCTT